GAGGTTGTGGAAGGGGTCAAGACGACTCGGAGGAGGACAGAGACCCCCGGGATCGTGCGAGGCGTGCTCTGGATTCAGACGTGAAATGCTCCCTCCCGGCACCAGACAGGCAAGGAAGGACCCCTCGATCTTCGCGGTCAAGCGTGAGTTCTGGGGCTTCAAGCGCCTACCTGGCTGCCTCGGTTTTATCCTCCGTCGAGAGGGGTGCTTCGGAGGGCTGGCTGTCCTTTTCCCTGCCCGCGTCCGGCGTCTCCCCCCCGTCTATCTCCGGAGGTTCCAACGTCGAGGTCGTGGTCGAGGTCGAGGTCGAGGTCGAGGGCGGGCTGGAGACTGCGGGGAAGGAAGGGAAAACGGCGGCCCGCCGGACTCGCCGGAAGAATAAAGCCGACACTTCCTTCACATTCCCCTCGAACGTATCCACCGACACGCCCCCCTCCTTTTCGCCCCCCCGTTTTCCCGCCCTCGCTTGCTCCCACCGCGAGGCCAACCAGGCCCAGAGCGGGGAGAGACCGGAAAGGAAGCTCGTCCATGCGGCCATGATGGAGGGATAAAGCCTCTCTGCGCCGGTGGTCGGGAGGGAGCGCCGCGGGAAAGGGAAGAACGTGTCAGGGAAGAGCAAAGGGGGGACCAGCCACGCCCAAGGCCGGCAGCTCGTGTCCGGCACACTTTGGGTTCCTTCCCCCCTTCTCTCCAACTTGACGCCACTCCTTATCGCCCCGCTCTCCCCTTCCTTCCTACCTTTCCACGTGGTTTGCACACTTGCCAAGCAACGGCACAGCGTGATCCGGATGATCGCCAAGGCCTGCGCGGCCGCCGAGCTTGCCTTGTGGCAGGCGGCCTGGCTGAGGTCTGGAGGGAGGACGGGAGGGAGGAAGGGGGTTGAAGAGCTTCGACTTCCGGTTCCACAGACAGAGTTTCATAAACGCACACCCTCTCCCTCTCTCCCTCCTTCCCTCCCTCCCTCCCTCCCTCTTCCACACCTGTCCACTTCTCCACCCGGAGACCGAGCGCTTGCTTCTTCCCCCAGGTCTGCACTTTCCTCCAAGCGAGCAGGAGCCACGCCCCCACCCACGCCATGCCTGAGAGCACAACCAGGAGGGTCTTCCTCCAGACCGGCCGCCCTCCTTCCCGCCCTCCTTCCCGCCCTCCTTGCCCGAGCACGGCGAGGCAAAAGGATATGGGTCCGTGGCCCTTCGCTCTGGCCAGCTGTCGCACGAGAGGAGGAGACAGGAAGGTCAAATAGGCGGTAGGCGGGGGCGACGGAGGCAAGGAGGGAGGGAATGGAGGCAGGGGG